GGGACATTCCTGACGCGGTCGTTGGGCTTATTTTCTGAGATTGTGCATCTATGCCTGCACAGAGACAGCTTGGACTTCTCAGTGAATAGCCTCAAAGTACTGGCTTCGGCAGGATTCAGTCCGCTGGCGTCCGATTTGTGGGACAGCGACGCGTACAGGTTGCAAGCAAATAGGTCACAAATTAGCTCGTTCTGCAGTTGCGAATGTGAGTCGTAGCACACACTGGAGTCATGACACTGTGTTGAGGATGAAGCTCTTGGAAAACTTTCGAGGAGCGCAACCATCGACTTGCTGCATTCGTGCAGGATTGTCTCCGAGACGCAGATGGTGAATAGTTTCGCGTCTACGTTCTGTAAGCCTGTGACTAGTAATCTTGCTAATTCTAGGCTCTGTAGGTCTGACGGATTGCTCGGACGTAATGTTTTCAGCGTAGAGAAAGCATAGTCAAGGATCAGCCGTACTGCGGACTCTTTTGAACAAGCCTAGAGCGTATTAGCATCCTTTCTGTATGCACGATTATGAATTCCTTACGGCATTCGCAAGTGCTAGTCGCTGCATATATTTTAGGGGAAGCACGCTCAACACAACGGGACTTGTTTCTGACAAGGCCCAGTCGAGAGCAAGTCGAGGTATTTCGGGGGTCAGTGCCGCTGTCGGAAGAATAGAAACGAGGAAGGTGGCCCCCTACCAAAGCTGTTAGGTGCTTATGTTCATGTGCGGAGAAGGTCTTGCCTACCAGAATCTGTACGCCACGATCAATGCCACTTCTCATCACTTTCTCTCGCAATTTGGCGATCTTGGATGGATTTGCTGCATTCCATGCTTCCTTCTGCTCAGGTTCGACCCTGTCACAAATCTGAATAGCTAAGCAAATACTTTCAGCAGCTTGTGCTGGCGTCAATTCACTGCATGAGTCAGAGCATGCGAGGATCACTCTCAGGACTACAAGATCCATTGTCTTGAGCCCGCGCTTGGGCCCAAAGAAATTACCGACACTTTGCAACCACAGCGGAGTAGATGACCGAGATTCTTGATTCGATAATTTCCCCTGCAGTGATGCAAGGTTGGCCAAGGTAGCGAGAGAAAGAAGATTGCCCATGTGGTCAGCGAGGTTGCGTAATGTTTTTGTGAGCTCCACCTGGATGCTGGACATGATCTCGGTAGAAATCTCGAGTAGTACTCTGGGAGAAGTTCGTAGGCCAGTTGAAATACGGTGTAGGGGCAAGATGGTCTCTGAGCACGGATTCTTTGATAATTGACGGATTACTGACGAGAGGAACGGTGTCAAACGCGCTGGAACCAGGAAGTCCGGTGGCAGAGGGGATGACAGAATTGCAGTGCATAGAGAAGCATACTGCGCTTGTTAGCTTTTGACCATGCTACCATGCTGCTCAGTCTTAAAATAGCAGATAGCTGAGGAAATGGGCACAGAAAATCGTGAGTAAGAGGTACCAACCTCGGAACCCTCCTCTGTCGTCGACTTTTCAAGGAATTGGTCAAGAAGATGGGGGTATCGCTGGAGAAAGAAGTCACGAAAAGAAACGACGGGCACTGCGATTGTCAGGATCTTCCATTCTCAGAGTTTCTGCAATGCTGGTATACCTACTGAAAGCACTAAGCAAAGACAACGCAAAGCGGGACCGAGATAGGCCGTCAACGAGAATTTCTACGAGTGCTCCGACCTGACATGGTTTACAGAACGCCCAATGTCTAATGGATGCAGGTGATGCATCTTGAACTAGGCCATAGAGGTCCTGGTTGCTCAGTATAGGTCAGCGACTGCTCTTGGATTGGTATAGATTAGCAGCGTGGAGCTGCGGGGTTTACCTGTAGCGAGGGTGCATATGGGGCCGTGACAAGGCGCTCCACTTCGCGCCCAAGTTGAATGCTCGTAATTTGTTCAGCCATGGCTGGCAGACCCGATACTCCGACAGAGTCTTCCACGCTTGCTTCGAAGTCGAAAGAAGGCCCTAGTTATTGCATTGAGACATCCATTGTCAACTGTGGTCAAGTGGCGGGGAAAAGAAAAAGATGGGATGCAGCCGGTTGCCCCGACAATCAGCCGGGAAGCCACTCCGCCTGGCAATTATACTGTACTGTACGGAGTGAGTACAGTACACTATTTTACTCTACAATTGTCTTCTAATCTAATCTACTACAAAAGAGAGAGCCAGCCCTTGAAAAGCAAGATAAGATATAATTAATGAAGAAAATCGAAAACAAGAGGATCAAATATATCTCCTCGAATACTGCATCATCTAACCAATCGTCATATCCAGTTCCCTGAACCAGGGTCCCATGTTGTTGAACCCCTTGGCAGGCACAGCAGTCGGGGTTCTGACCGAAGTCGCGCAACTCCGATTCTCCAACGCGGACAATAAGCACCTTTGGGAACCAACATGGGGGGAACTGCCTGTGCCGGATGCATGTGCGCTTCTCATCTCAAACGGCTTTTCCCATTCGCCCTCGGCTCTTCTTATCTTGATTTTTGTATCATTCTCGGCCGATTTCCGATCTTTGACAGTTCTCATTATTAGCTCCGATGGCGTTAACCGGGCTGGCTCGCAGATGCACGAAGCTAGGGAACCCCAAAAGAAAACCAGTTTCTTCGAAACGACATCTCTTCCTGCTTTGCGAAGTCATTGCGTACATATTTTATTGCTCTCAATTTCTTTCCTTTCAAGTCTGTCTTGGTGTTACTGTCAATCCTCAATCGATACATAATGCGGGCTCTCGTTCAATTGCCTCGGGTTTTCCCCGCATCTCCCCGCACGAGAGTGACTGCCCACTGTCGACCACCAACTCTTCTTACACAGCATAGAACGGTCCGCTTGCGAAGTGACGTGAACCCTACCCAGCTCGAGAGTAACTTGAGCAAAATTGGAGACTCAGGTTCCTCAAACAACAGCAAGTCTTCGGGCTTTGGCTCCTTGGGCAACACTCTTCTCTTCTCCGCATTAGCTGCCGGGGCCGGTTACGCATATGCAGTCACTTCTGAGAAGTCACAATCGAGCCAGCCTCAGTACGGGTCAGCGAAGGAATTTACAAAGGTAAGCAGCATCCTGTTGGTTTCACTAGGCATACTGCAAGATACATGTTACTGATCGAGTCGGCAAACTAGGCCATTGCGGAATTGCGAGTCGTACTGGGCGAGGATGCCATGAGCACCGATGAGGACGATCTTCAACGCCATGGATTCTCAGAATGGTCCAGTGTCAATGCAGATCGTCTACCGGTCGCGATCGCGTACCCGAACAATACCGAAGACGTCTCCAAAATCGCTCAGGTATGCCACAAATATCGAATGCCAATGGTTCCTTACTCCGGCGGTTCCAGTCTCGAGGCCAATTTCTCTGCCCCTCACGGAGGCTTGACTATAGACTTTGCTTCGATGAACAAGATTCTCGAGTTGCATGAATCCGACATGGACGTTGTGGTTCAGCCCTCGATCCAATGGATGGATCTCAATGAGAAGATCAAGGACAGTGGCCTCTTCTTCCCCGTTGATCCCGGCCCGTCTGCAATGATTGGTGGGATGGTTGGCACGAATTGCAGCGGAACAAATGCTGTGAGATATGGAACTATGAAAGACTGGGTCATCAACCTCACAGTCGTCCTGGCCGATGGCCGAATTATCAAGACACGTCGCCGTCCACGCAAAACATCGGCAGGGTATAATTTGACAGGACTTTTCGTGGGCTCCGAGGGGACACTTGGTATTGTGACGGAGGCTACCCTCAAATTAGCTCCTATCCCAGAGCAGACGCGGGTTGGCGTCGTGACCTTCCCGACCGTGCGCGATGCTGCGTCGACCGCCATGCAGCTTATCCGACAAGGTATCCTGGTACAGTGCGTGGAAATCTTGGATGAGGTCCAGATGGATGTCATCAACCGCGCCGGTGGCACCGGACGCACATGGAAGACGTTGCCCACACTGTTCTTCAAGTTTTCTGGCACGAAGGCAGGGGTCGCTGACAGCATCAACTTAACCACCAAGTTATCCAAAAGGAACAATGCCAGCTCCTTTGAATTTGCACGAGACGAGCGTGAAGCTCATGACCTGTGGTCTGCGCGGAAGCAATCACTGTGGAGTATGCTGTCGCTAAGGGAGAAGGGATCCGAGGTCTGGTCTACAGACGTTTCGGTGCCCATTTCCAGACTGCCAGATATCATCGGTAGGACCTATTCAATCAACTGCACGTGAGCGTGGCTAATCTGGTGGCAGAAATCTCCAAGAAGGAACTAGACAATCTTGGGCTCTTTGCCAGCATTCTCGGGCACATCGGTGATGGGAATTTTCACGCAAGTATCTTGTACGACCGCAGCGATCCCAAGGAGCTGGAGCGAGTGGAGAAGGTCGTGTACGATATGGTCGATCGGGCTTTGGAGATGGAGGGTTCATGCACGGTATAATACACAACCCCCTGTCCCCCCCCCGTTGTCCGTTTGATGCACATGGGGCTGACTGTTGAGTAGGGAGAACATGGTGTTGGTCTAGGCAAGAAGGGTTCCTTGAAGAAGGAACTCGGCCCGGACACGATAGATGTTATGCGCTCTATCAAACAATCGCTCGATCCCCATTGGTTACTCAACCCAGGGAAGATCTTTGATTATGAACGCAGGGCATAGAGTGCATTTCCAAATGAAAGAGCCTCCACTGCAATTAGCATCGTTGTCAAGATATACCCGTTCAAGGGGCCATTTTGGGAAATCGAGTCACTATAACATAACCCTAGACCTACTGCCAAGTCGAGGTTATGTAGATGGATCGGAAGAATATATAAGTAGATTCCGGTCTTCATTCCTGCTTACCTACTCCGTACTTCCTGGGAGGCATTTTCGTCATCGGCAATTTTAGTAAAGACCGTTCAGGAACATGCACTCTAGCCAATGATCATCGAGAAATGTATGCTCCAATTGAGTGACTAAGCAGGGCTGACTCACCGCGGGGCAAATGGCTCCGGAGCGATATCGCAGTGTCCCGCTCCAACGCCACGGACTCTCACTCTTTCTAGTCTCTATCCCAAGTGTCAGGAGGTAAGTACTACTGTGATTTTGTTCAGTTGGTGCTTTGAGATGTGATGCTTTCAACAGAACCAATCTTCAGCATCCACGGCCAGTCCCTGATCAAGTTCAGTGAGACCTCCCATGAGTGGGGGTATCGCTTTCAACTTGATCGTTTGCTGCGAGCTATGAATGATTCGATCCTATTTCCGGATCTTTTGTGCTGTTTCGGATTAAATCATCCACTTAATTGGTGTTCAAATGGAATTCAAGTAACTGACAGCATCGGGTTTGATAGTCTTGAATCGCACAATGGCCTCATATCCCAAGAAGAAGTGCGGTAAGCAAGTCTTGGACAAGAGGTGTTTTGGAAGAGAAGTTTGTACTGATACAAGGCAGGTGTTCTCGGAGCCACTGGCTCGGTTGGCCAACGGTTCATTCTCCTGCTCGCGGACCATCCCTTCCTGGAACTTCACGCCGTCGGTGCCTCGGAGCGCTCCGCTGGTAAGGCCTACAAGGATGCCGTGAGATGGAAGCAGACTACGGCCATGTCTGAGAAGCTCAGCAACCTTGTCCTTCGTGATTGCAAGGCCGAGCAGTTCGCCGACTGCGACTTGGTCTTCTCTGGACTCAACAGCGATGTGGCGGGCGATCTTGGTAAGAGGCTACCTACATAACGTCTTTGGAAACATATTGACCAAATGCGTCGCAGAAATGGAATTTATCAAGGCCGATATCCCCGTTTTCTCCAACGCTAAGAACTACCGCAAGCATCCCCTGGTCCCGCTTATTGTTCCTACCGTCAACCCTCACCACTTCGACCTCATCCCCCACCAACGGAAACACTTCGGCCTGAAGAAGGGCTTCCTGGTCTGCAACTCTAACTGCGCCGTCATCGGCATCGTCATCCCATTCGCCGCGCTCCAGGCCAAGTTCGGTCCTGTTGTCGAAGTGGAAGTTTTCACTGAGCAAGCTCTGTCCGGAGCCGGTTACCCTGGTGTTCCCAGCATGGACATTTTGGACAATGTCATTCCGTTCATCAGCGGCGAGGAGGACAAGCTCGAGAACGAGGCGCAGAAGATTCTGGGTTCTCTGAATGCCGATGCTACTGGTTTCGAGGAGCAAGCCGGCCTCAGAGTGGGCGCGACTTGCACTCGTGTTGGAGTCACTGATGGCCACATGGCATTCGTTTCTCTGCGCTTCAAGAACCGCCCGGCACCCAGCGCAGAGCAGGTTGTTCAGGCGATGAGAGAATATCAGTCCGAGGCACAGAAGTTGGGTGCCCCGTCAGCTCCTGCAGAGGCTATCAAGGTTTTCGACGAACCCGACCGGCCCCAACCCAGACTCGACCGCGATATCCATAAGGGATACACCGTTAGTGTCGGACGAGTCCGTGAGGGTCAGGAAGGTGGCTATTTCGATATCCGATTTGCTGCCTTGTCGCACAACACCGTTCTGGGCGCTGCGGGATCGTCTATCCTCAATGCCGAGGTTGCCGTGATCAAGGGCTACATCTAGACACGCTAGATAATAAAAATGTATATAGAGACTTGGGTTAGCTTCTTTCTCTGATAGACAGCTTGAGAACTTAGCAGTCGGTGTCAACAAAGTGACGACCGAAGTATGTGTGAGTAGGTGTCTTGACACGTGAAGATAAGGGACCCACTTATAGCATTACATAATGAACAAGGTCAGCCCGAGCTAGTCTTCTATAGGCTTAGCGTAGAAGGAACTCAATTTCAACGGGGTTAGGGCTCAACCCGGCAGCACCGGACGCTAAGCGAAAATTGAGAGCGCCCTGGATATCAGCAACTGAAGTCCCTGCCCCGACCGTCTTCTCTCTTTCGCGACACTTCGACAACTTAACCGGTTCAAGTCGACAAAGCAGCCAAGATGCCTCGCGGACCGTAAGTCCTGAGCCTTACCACACCAATTGTGACTTTCATGCGACTGCGACCATGTTTGCCGATTTTATCGAGACTTGCGAGTCGCAGGAGCAGATGGTTGCATGTTCAAATTGGAAGTTAGGGATGGAAGAGCTGACTCGATTCTTCGTGCAGTAAGAAGCACCAGAAGCGCCTTAGCGCGCCTTCGCACTGGCTCCTGGACAAGATGTCCGGAACCTATGCCCCCAAGGCCTCCCCCGGTCCCCACAAGCTCCGTGACTGTCTGCCCCTGATTGTCTTCATCCGCAACCGGTACGAACCCTCGAGCGACACGACGCGATGTGCGACCCGCCCGGAGGAACAGCGGCTAACAGCGAATATAGTCTCAAGTACGCCTTGAACGGCCGCGAGACCAAGGCCATCATGATGCAGCGCCTGATCAAGGTCGACGGCAAGGTCCGCACCGACCCTACCTACCCCGCTGGCTTCATGGACGTCATCGGCATCGAGAAGACCGGCGAGAACTTCCGCCTGATCTACGACACCAAGGGTCGCTTCACCGTCCACCGCATCCAGGCTGAGGAGGCTGAGTACAAGCTCTGCAAGGTTAAGCGTGTTCAGCTTGGCAAGGGCGGGATCCCATTCTTGGTTACGCACGATGCGAGAACGTGAGTGCATGCTCTCTACAAGTTCCGTGTCATTCAGTCGTTGGACCAAGCTTTGGTTGATCGGCGGAGGACGAAAGAACCGGAACGACGGTTTCTTTACGGGAACATCGTAAGGGACCATATGAATGAACATTCATGCTAACAAGGCTTATCACAGCATCCGCTACCCCGACCCCGCCATCAAGGTCAACGACACCGTCAAGGTTGACATCACCACTGGCAAGATCGCTGACTTCGTCCGCTTCGATACCGGTGTTGTCTGCATGGTTACCGGTGGTCGTAACATGGGTCGTGTCGGTGTCGTCACCCACCGTGAGCGCCACGACGGAGGTTTCAACATCGTCCACATCAAGGACGCCATTGACAACACCTTCGCTACCCGCGAGTCCAACGTTTTCGTCATTGGCCAGGACAAGCCCTGGATCTCCCTCCCCAAGGGCAAGGGTGTCAAGGTACGTTCCATTTTTCTAGTACCCCGGCCTGCATGTCACTCGAGACTGACCGATTCTGTTTTAGCTCTCCATTGCTGAGGAGCGTGACCGCCGCCGTGCCTACGCCATCGCCAACTAGATGTAGTTCGGTAAGTGTCGTAGGATACAGCAAATCAAAAAGCTTTGAAAAATTCCGCTGGGGAGACGACGTCTTGTCTTGCTTTGTGGGCCTGTATGACGCCGGTTACGATAATATGAAGCGTTATTCAGAATCAAAAAAAGAGAAAGTTCTGTCCACCGGGTATACCATGGGGCATGTCCATGTCTACCACGTTCTGTAGGCTTATACGTACCATCCATAGTTGCAAAGCAAGGATTTCTCCTAGTGCTTCTTGTCCTCTCGGGTAGTCGTATTTCTTGCTTCATGCTCCACATGGCGGAGTTCCCCAGGACTCGTAGTCCGCCGTCTTACCTTCCCCGGCCCAAATTGGCATTCCAACCCACCCACCGGCGACCGATGGACTCAACTCACTCGCCGGGATAATAATGGATCAATCACCAGTCCCTTGCTGGTCGGAACCTTGAATTGCGGCCCCATTCCCAAGAAAGTCCACTTGTCCGCCGGGCCGTCCCCTTCTGACTAGTGCAATCAACCACTGGGCAGTCATAGTCTCCTCTTTTGAGACATCCATTCCCACTCACTCCATGGAGTCCTGAGTCCTATGGAGAAGTCCCACCTCTCAGCAAGTCCCAACAGGGCCGAGGGATACATGGCTTGGGCTAGTGAGATTGGATGCAACCCGGGCCCTTCTATCGACTGCCTTTCCCAGACTGGCGGATAAGACAGGCGTTGATTATTGTACAAATCCTACCACGCACTTCTTCCTTGCTCTGGGCGCACGATGGGTGAGATCGAGAGTTCTGTTTACCGCTCATATCTAAACACTAAACACTAAACATCGCATAGGCTTTACCAAGAGCGGGGCCTCGGAAAGAGCAGGCAACTGACTCACTGACTCCGATCTTACATGCGCCCATTCGACCTGTAGAGGTCGCTATATCTGCTGGACCAACGAAGCGGCCTTGTCATCAAGGGAATTTCCTCCGCCGACTTGCAAAGTTGTAAGTGCCATCTGAGACCCTCTCCCCCCTCCCTTCTCCTCCAAAGGTAAGCCGCTCCACCCACCCATGGACCATACAGGTGCAAGATAACACGTCTACTTCCCCCATATGCATGCCAATATAGATCCTCCGTCTTCCCTCCAATTCCCTCTGGCTCTCTAATGCGCCCATGGGGGTGACTGCAAGAGGATCGAGCCTAAGAGACCCCGGTTACAGCTGCTACAGCGGCTACAGCTACTACCACGGTAGTAGGTAGTAACTTGCTTCCAGACCATTCAATAATCCTTGTCTCTTGCCCAGAGATATTTGGGATCGATCAATTTTTTTTTTCTCTATTCCCGGCTTCCTAATGTTCTCCTTCCTCCGTCCGTTTAGGCCGATTCTCGGTCTGATGGCGTACGAAGCATGAGATGAGCACCGACCACGCAGCCTCGAACACCTGGTGGGTTCAGACGTCTTTCGGTCAAATGACAAGTCATTCTCGTGGGTTGATCTTCGCTCGGTTTTGGGGCACCAATTGTGATTGATATTAACCAGACGCAGCCGTGTCCAGTTATCCAGGTTTCAATAATTGTCTCCCCGACATTCATTGTGTGGGATTTTCGATCAGGTCAGCATTGGCGCTCGGAATCGATCGGGAAAATGATGATTACGATCATTCGCTCAGACCTTATTGCCTTTCCCTGGTGAGATCGATTCCTAGGGCTTGTCAGCTTGGCTGGATGTTTTTGCCCAGAATTTTTCATTACTGCTCTCCTCTCTTGCATGTTATTCCTCTTGGGGCGCGCCATCGAGGTTGCCTCTCTACTGGCCCGTCCTGCCCGGCCTGGCAGGATACTGACAGGAGTCGTCCGAATGAGCGAACCGAAGACGACTCACCACCGCCGTCAAGTCGGCGTGCACCCAGCTTGTGCTACTACATTCATTGGTTGAAAAGGGTGCTGGCAGGTCCTGCCAACTCGTTGCGGAGAGGCCCCGATTGCGGAGAAGTTACTCAGCATCCATCTGCTTGGCAGGCAGATGAGCGCAAAGAATTTATATCAACCACGCAGAGGTAACGGGATGGTTGTTGAATCGTAAGCCACTGTCACTGATCTTGACCCCCCTTCACACGCTCCGACACGCACATACCCACGCACCACCACCACACTTTAAATCCGAGTCAGGTGTCATGCATGCTGCAAGCGATGGACCAATCTGGATTGACCGCGCAAGCCCAGGATCCGAACAAAGGTCATTACTTCGGCAGAGTCGCTAGCTGTCGTCTCCTCTCGCGCGCTCTGTCTAACTAAGTGACTTTCTATTCTCATGCTTAGTCATGGGAGGCTAAAAAGCGCATCATGAACATGATTGTTTTTTTTTTTTTTTTTTTTGCTTTCTCGGTTTTTGATTGTAAACTACGGAGTAGATCCGTGGGAGAGGTTCTCGACAACCGTTGTTCCTTCCCGCAAGTGACGATGGCTCGCATTCCACCAAAAGAGGCCTATGAGGTTCAAGAGTATTGCTCTTCCAACCGCCGTTGTTCCCGTAGCTTTCATGCTTGTAGCCATGTACCCATTCACCCACCATAGCTTCCCGCTCTTCAGAGTCTGGACTCAACAAACACCCCAGACACTAGACAGACTATCGGCCGACTTGTCACCATCCTTGATCTCTATCAGACCTTCTCCAGGGTGAACAGCTCAGGAGACACAGCCCGTCTGGCTGCAGGCAAGGTCACTACGAATGCTAGTGGTCGGATTCGACCATGTTAATGGTCACACAGCCAGGAATCTGGACAGCATCACTTTACGCCTGTCCCCGCTACGAAATTAGATCAGACTAAGTGCATACAGAATGAGAGAGAGAGGAAGAGAGAGAAAGGGTTTTGTCTCGCCCCCGGAGGTCCCTCGCTGGTGAGAGCTGGTCTTTCCCTGAATTTCCTTATTTTCCGTATTTTCATTTTCCCATTTCTCAATTAATGATTTCATTTCTATTCGCTCTCTCGTTTCTCTCTCGCCTTCAATCGGTTGGGCATCTTGGCGACGAAATTTACTGTACCAATTGGGAGGACAGTGACCGACTTCTGATCTCAGTCCGACCTCGGATAGTAATTCCGTTCACTGAGAGCTCCTCAAAATCTATCAATGGCACGACGTGGACTGAGAGAGAGCGGGACGGTATGACGACCTAGGCAAGGGAGAGAGAGGGAGGCAAGTATTCTGCAGGCTGCAAGCTGCACCCAGTTGCAGCATAAAGATACGGAAGGCTGATAGTAAAGTTTTCCCGGGATAAGAAGGAGGAATGAAAAGAGGAGAGCAGACGAGAGAGGGAGTGAGGGGGTGGAGTCCCAAGTGACAAAAAAGAAAGGATTGAGGTGGAGGGTCCAAGCGACAGTTGCAAATGGATACATCGCATCGATGCATTCCAATTCAATTGGGACCAGGGTTTCTGAGTTGACGGGCCTCCCGCCCGCGGCACGGCACTTGATCTTCCCTTTCCACTACGGACGGAGTGTAATCTGTAATCTGTAATCGTAATCTATAATCTGTAGGCTGTAGTCTGCTCTTCTTTCTTCGCCGTACTCTGTACTCCGTACTGAGTATTCAATTCTTCCCCTGCGCCACACCATCGGACAACCCCACCCACCGTGGAGAGGCACCACTATTCGTTAGTTATTATTGTTTTTGATCTCTCTTTTGGTGATTCATCAACATACTCCTCCTCAACTCCATAACATTTTCTTGTCTGGAATGCTTTGAGTCGCGCATGGGTCTCTTTGTACTCGTACTCAACTCACGTTGGGGGTGGATCACCGCATGTCTTTGCCGTTACGTCGACGGTCGCCAACAGCCACGAGCTCCTTCGGTACACCATGCCTAGGGTGATTGGCTTGATACAATGTTCACTTTCTTTCCCAGGGCTTTTTCGATGATACCTAGTCCCGTCCACGCCATGCCTCGCCCTTTCTTTCCACCCACTCATTCCATTAGTTCACTAGGTACAGTACTTTTTCTGTACGGGATGTACAATAGTGAACCGACTGTTTCTCCCACTGTTTACATACCCTGAATGCACCGCGGAGTACTCGTACTCTGAGCTGCTTCTGCCCGATTCGTGGAAGTCATCAGAAGTCGCGGTCACACCAATTCCTCTTACGCCTTTGACGCCTAGATCACTGAATGCAACACATTCAAGGTACCCTGACTTACCCAGACACCCACATCGAAGCATCGCAATCGAACAAGGAAAAGAAGATGGAATGGATGGGTCACCTTCAGCTGTGGGAAATCCCTATGGGAAATCCCTAGGGCCGTTTATCATGCAATTGACCACCGGTAGTTTCAGCTCTTGCCCCAGTCTGCCAGCTGGAGTGGTCAAGGGCATTTAACACTCCTAGGAGTCCATGATTCCGGTTTGCCTGGTTCGGAGTGTACAGCTATACCCTCGTTGCCGGGCCTCCTCGTCATTCGTTCCAACGGCCTGGTGAGTTGAAGAAGCAACAAGGAACAAGCCCGACTAAATTAGGGCCCGCAGTAGCAGAGTCGCTAGCCACTGCCAGCCACTGCTAGCCACTTCAATCTGTTTCCCCCTCCCCGATCCAGCATTTGTCTTGCTACCGACTCTCTAGATGGTGGCAACTAAAGGTGGATTCGGACAGCTCCCATCTGGGTCTTCCCGAGAGATGGTGCCTTATAGGATCATCGACTATCCCCGGTATCAGCATGACGGACGAGACGACGGGTTCAGCCCCGTTCCTGGCGTCTGCTGAAGCCTGAAGCAACCTCTCAGAGGGGAGACCGCCCGGGCCCGGCTGAAGGACTTCGCCTCACGATCTCGGCCTGATGTATATTTGACCTCATTCAATTTCTCGATACACCGCTACAGTGATGATGAAGGTGATGCTTTCATCCATTCATTGATTCCGACTTTCACTTTTTGCCCGTGTACCCTGATCACTGGAGTCTTGGGTGAATCTTCCAGAACCCAACGAATACTGCATGGCCAGATGTTCCATCCCGTACATCCCGGCTCCTGACCGCTTCTCCTGCCCTTTTCCTTTATCCTGGTTGGTTTTCTACTTACCCCATATGCCACCTATTGATCCACCGCCGCCGTTGGCTGACAGCCATTCATTAATGGCTGGTATTATCGGTGGTGCTATTGCCAAACGGACTGGTTTTCGCTCAATGGCCGTTCCGATTCTCATCTGCCCTGCTGATTGTCTTCAGCCCATGTGGGGTTTGTTGCGTCGTCGCAACCGCCCCTAGACTACTAGCTAGATAGAATAGACGCCCTCCCCTAGACCTAACGGCCCTATCCTAGGTTGCACGCGCTACCTGCCCGGTGGTAGTGTGGTTGGCGACGACTCTGGGCGGCGACCTGGACTGATTGGCCTGGGCAAGTCAGCTAAAACGAGGTCTTATTCACGCCTTTAGCTTAGTTAAGGGTGTTGAGGTAATCTCCGTAGCTTCAGCCTAACCTGGCTCTCGGGTCCCAGTGGTTCGGATCAGCGCCAGCCCTTTTCTACGGAGTACTCTCTTTATTATCTTCTAATTTAATGCAGTACTTACCGTCTTCTGCCCGGGATTTTGGATTTTTGTTTCTTACAGGTTCCAAGTTGATTTGATCATTCCTCATGTCTTGTCGCTTGTATGTAATGCGCCCCCTCGCCGCCATCCTTTTTGGCCGTTCGACCGCGTCAAGCAGCAAGATACCGTCCTGAACCCTCGTGAGTTGTCAAACGTGGCAAAGTGAGGAATGAGCAGTTCGCGGCTGGGACATTGACCCATCCTCTTCAGTAAACTCGGGGCGAAAAAAAAAAGTGGAGGTTGCTATGACTTTGACCTTAAGCTTGGTATCACTAGAGGGATGGTGTGAATGTAATAAAAGCTTTTTTTTCTCTTTCTGTCCCTCTTATCAGGAGTCACTCCCCCCATTCCAGTCGGTTCCTGGTTATAGTATCCATCATTTTCCCCACCGGTACTGCTGTTGGCCTCTCCCTGCTCTGGCCTTTCTGGTGTGCGCTACCATCCACTATTATTAGTGTCAGTTCACATCGACTACTGACCTCCCTGTGGGGGTTGAACCCAATCTGTAAGTCCCCTCTGACGTCGATGGTCCTTAGGACATATGCCTGATCCGGGGGACGTTCTAGAATTAGTCCCGTTTAAACGTCTGCCGGAGATCTTGCTTCCGTCTATACGTCTGGGTAGTAGTTAGTGGTACAAGGGACTAAACCAGGGAAAGGGAAGAAAGGAAAACAAGAAAGAATAAAAAAAAAAAAGAAAGAAAGAAAGAAAGAAAATCCTGGGGTCTAATAAAAAAAGAAGAAGAAGAAGAGGAAGAAGTCAAGGTGGTGTGCAGGTCACTTACATGTGAGTTAAACCAGACTGACTGACTGACTGACTGAGGGAGTGCGTGTGGTGTGTACGATTCATCATCTACTAGTTACTATCTATCGGGGTCTTCTTACAGAACTGCAACCACCGCCTCTCGACTACCACTGCTACTCTATTTCTCTTTCTCTCTCTCTGTCTGTCCCCCGATTCCCATCCCCTCTTCTCTTTTCTTCCCCACTCAAGAATTTCCCCCCACTCACTGTGAAAAGGAGACACTTTTACTTTTTGAACACCTCGCCGTCCGACTCCCAAGACGCCAATTTGGCTTTCTTGTCGTCTTGTTTCTGATTTTCCCCGTGGTGCAGCAGTGGGCAATGTCCACATACTCTCCTTCCTCCACTGGCGTGCCCGTCATGTTTGATCCACCGGCCTACCCGTCTATCTTCCGTGCCGGAGCGGAGATCCCCCCGTTCTACCTGAAATATCGCTGGTGGGAAGATGAGGCCATGACCATGCTGTGGGCCTTTGACATCCAAGAGATCAAGCGGGCGATCCGCTTCGGCCTCTTCCGAGACGAGAGTCTCCCGCGAACCGCCTTCCAGAACCGCAACGCCAGTGCCATTGACACCTTCTTGTCGGAGCTGGTCGAGCCCCATGAGAGGGCCTTCATCGGCAACCTCTCACATATCCAGAAGGTGGAGGAGATCGTGCGACGATGCCGAACAGCAGACCCTGCGCTGGCAACGTGGAGTTGGTTTCCCGCGCAAGGGAACCGGAACATGACTGCGATCGGGATCGCCGAAGACCTCGACCATGAGAGCCATCTGCATTTCACCAGGATCCCCTTCGAGGAGCTGGTGCGCTACTCGCTGGGCTACTCGGCCCCCTCGGTGGAGTGGTTTCTGCAACAGCATACCGCGTTGCATATTCACTTGCTGCACCATCTTCAGGCTTTCCCGGAGGAAGTATCACTGTATGTCGAGGTGGAACAGGTTCGTCAAGTCCTATCTGGCGAGTGCTTGACAGAGATGCTGATATTAGCGGACAGCATCTTCGCAGCCGGAGCCCCTTTGCCCTTCGGGCTGTGACGGCTTGTCTGCGTGCTCTTCGAGGCGGTCATATCGCGGCGAGTCCCACGACCCCAGCTTTCGAGTTCATCGCCGGTCCGATCCAGGAGTTGTTCAAGGAGATCTCGCCCAGCTTGAAATCCATTCTGAAAGTGCTATGCGTCTCCGCCGTGCGTTACAAGCAGGCTTACGTGCATACGCGACACATGAACTGGACTCGACCCTTCAAGCTCAACTTGGCGTTCTTGGACGATCTGACGGCATCGACCTCGCCGCTGGACTTTGCCCGTACGATGGCCCATATCGATGAAGGGTATCTCACGGGGCTCTCGCAGAAAAGCTTCGTGGAGCCCGGGCCGGTGGTCAAGCGGGTATTCACAGAATGGGAGCTATTAAGCATAGCGGTGTGGGAGTGTTGTACAGCGCTTCCGGAACTGGTGGGCTACATCCAGGAATGTGTACAGGTGGGCATCCTCTATCAGAAGCAAGACCTGGGAGAGCGCTAATCTTGAGACCAGGCTCTACTGATGGTTCGGAACTACCACTCCCTCACAGCTATTATCGATGGCCTTCGAAAGTACAGCATCAGCACATCCACTATTGTTTCTTCCTCCCATGTAGCCTCTTTCATGCTCCCTTCCGACTTCGATAATCTGTTGGACCCTTCTGAAAACTTCGTCACCTATCGACAAGCATTTACCACCAACCCGGGCGTGCCCTTCCTCGTCCCGCATATCCGCGAATACCAGCAACATGGCCAACCGGCCTTACAGCAGCTCTTCCAGCACATGCGGCCGTCTCCTCTGCGCCAATGACCAATCCGAGCGCAGGCACGCTCCAGAAACAACAGCGAAGACAGTCCGGCCACCATATGCTGAACACAGGAACACAATAACAGCGGAATGGAATGCAATACGGTGGCGTTCTCGTTATGCTAGGCCAACTGAGTCTTACGACCGATCGTCTCATAGGACACGTTATAATCCTAGACCGAAACTCCATGCCTGACGAGGCCTGCTTCTTCTTACTTTGATCTAACTTGCGACAGAGGCTACGCAGGCGGGCGATATCACCCCCTGTTGGGCTGTTCTTACTTTTGATTTACCTCCCATTCCTAATAGTCTTTTTTTCGGATATGCTTGTTAGTGCAGATTGTTCTGTGGGAGGGTTTTTGGTTCTATCTACTACCAGGGACTGTATTTCTAATGCATCTAGATATTCAGCTGTTCATGACTCTAGCGGCAGATTGGGTTCGTATATGTGGTCGAGGCGATGTTTCGGGACAGGTTGTTTGCGTATGAGAGGGAAATCCATGATCCCCCAGAATCTATGGGCCCGTAGTGAGCTCCCAATGAAGAAAATGATCATCCTGGCTTCAGTCGGATGTACGGTACGGTATCCTGTTCGGTGTCGGGGGTGGCTGCTGGACATGGGTAGGGAGTCGTAGTGAAACTTCGTGGGCGTCGATACATCACTTCAGTGTATGCAGTGCTGCTCCGCAATCTGCCCTGATATGCAGCTGAACCTGTGTATCCGGGGATCACGGAGTTCTAATAATCACTCGCCTATGCCGGGGAAGGGGCAAGTACGGGCCAGCTCCATGCATGCATGCATGCATCCATGCCTCCATGCATCCGTCTATCGATCAGCCCTAGCCCTTGGCATCTGCTACGTATTGCCTCTCTCCATCTTTGGTTCATGCGATACTGGTCTATTCCTGCTTCGGTGGTCAAGTCCTCGCCTTCTCTCTGTCATATGTCATGTGTTTTCCCTTTGGGTGTGCTTGCAGAGAGGAAATAAATAGTGTCCAGGGTATGCACCGGTTTTGACATCATGTGAGGCCTGCTGAGTCTTTGGTCGCCATGCCCACTACTAGCTGATGTCAAGTTCGATATTGCATAATGTCGCTTCAACAACAACAACAACAACAACAACAACAGCAACAGTACAAGTGGAGACAGACAATAACACGAAGGTTCAAGACCGCAGATCTGGAGTCCGCTATACTCCGTCCTCCATCGCAATAACCTTTGCGGCAGCCAAACTCAAGCATCGAGGATTCAGCCGAGGGAGCCGTCTGATCTGATTCACTACTAGGAAGTCTTTTGACGTAGTTTCATGTTAAACAATTCTTTTTCCCCCTTAGCCTACCTGCTCCGACGACTCTTTCCATCTGCTACACACATTTCCCAAGCAACCCCGTCCCATCCGCCGAAAATCAAGAGCAAGGCAACCGAACCCCAGCCCACACAGCCCTAGAAGCCCAAGCCCAAGCCCAAACCCAAGCCCAAGCTCAAGCAACCTTCTTGCCACGGCTATTCTTCTGCTCTGTCTTCCCAGTTTTTGCTGCCACTGGTAGCTGGTAATCCCCCACCCAGCCAACCAGAAACAGCACGCGATTGACCCCCAGAAACGCCGTAACCGCCACGTTGCCCCAGGTCAGGGCGTTCCACCCGCCCACGTCGCAGAACCGCGCCCACCCCATCCCCCACCCCGTGGCGGAGATGTGGCCCACGTCCGCCACCAGCAGGGCAAGCAGGTAGCGGCGGATGACCGGGGGTTCGGTCGTGGTGCGCAGGATCCCCAGCCCCAGGAGGGCGAGGAGGCCGTACAGGTTGCCGAGTTGGTAGGCTAGGGAGATGGATTGGGGTTGGATGGGGTTAGATTGGCCTTGAGGGTGGGCTTGAGGGATTTGGTCGGTGATGAAGGCGGGGAGGTTGAGGAGGGGGCTTAGTGCTCCCGCGATGCTGGATAGGGGGGGTTAGGTTTTGTTTGTTGGTGATGTTTCTGGGATGTTCATGGTCTATATTCTAGATCTATATTCTAGATCTATTGTAGATATGTATGTGTGGACGTACAGGGAGATGGGCTCGAAGATGCCGAAGATTAGGTTTGGCCATGGGGGGAGGATGGAGGGCATCGTGACTGGATCTGAGTGAGAGGGATGGATGTCAGTTTGCAGAGATTCGGCAGAGAGGTGACTGCGGTGTTGTGATGAGTCTACCAGATAGATAACTTGTTGTGATTAAACATGTGTCAATGATCAATGAAGCCGACTGCGCCGTGGTTCACCCGATTGGGAAGTGCTGATTCAGCAAACCGGTTTTGCGCTTTTGGTAGCCTGCCTCGACCCTACCCCGCATAGCCCCGAGCTTCTCTCCGCCCGGCGCCCGCGGTAGCCAGCAAGTGAACTGAAGTTAACAAGAGCTACTACGGAGTACCTCCCGAGTCAACTCACTAGCTACCATTTCAACCTACTCCATACTTGACCCTTTCCATTCTCTCTTCTCCCCTCCCCCCCTCCCCTTCTAACCCCCAAGGAATAAAAGAAAATCTCCCTATCTCGATTAACTGTTGCTGGATTCATAGTCACCGATCCTGCAAAATGGCTCATGGCTACGTGGGGAGTCTCGTTCCATCTCTGGTGATCTTTATCCCTGCTTTCATCGTTTGAAGGCTGCCGCCCTCCTGGATTCCGTGAAGAAGACCATGGATTCCAACACCACCTTCACCCGACCGTACGACGAATCGTTGCTTCGAGAATTACCCCAGCTCCAGAGTCTCCGCATAGCTCCTCTCCGTCAGCCTGTCTCGCGGTTGCTGAGTGTGCCTTCGCCGCTGGAGCCGAATGCCAGCCGGGTCCGCGAGGCCACCGCTGCTCCCACGCCCACTAGCTCGGCGGGCATTCTGCCTGGCCCCCGGAACAATGATTCCGTGGTCGCGGTTCCCGCGGAGCGTCTGAACCACCATGCATCGCGCCCTCCGAAGAAGAAGACTGATCCCTCCGTGGACTCGCTCCTTAGCCTCGAGCCCGCGCCGCCCAAGCCCATTCTTCCCGCCTTTGTTAATCCCCGTGCTCTGGAACGGTTCCCTTATTCATCGTTCGACGACGATGCCCATCATTCCCGCAAGCGGCGCCGGGTCGGCGTGCAGGCCGAGACCTTTGCCGAGCATCTGCAGCTGCCCATCCCGCAAGCTCAGAAGGAACAGCGCCCGCCCCCGTTCGGGCCCTTTGCGATCCTGAATGGGCTCAACGAACCTCCCCCCAATGCCGCTCTTCTGCCGCCCATCGAAGCCGGCTCGAGCATCGCGCAGCTGCTGACTAAACCCTCCCGGGACAGCTCGGTCGTTGAGCCGGCTTCGCTGACCACTTCCTTCGGGGAGGGTCCGACAGGCGAAAGACGAGAGGGCAGGATCGAGGATATTCTGGCCTCCCCCATTGCTACGAAGACGGCCCCGAGCGACCGCGGTGGCGCTGTGGCCGTCGGACTACGAGACGACCCGGTCGCCGCGAATCGGCCGCCATGTGACAAGACCGACGACGGGGAGTCGGACGACAAGAAGTCATCCTCGGCCGACGAAAACGAGGAGCCCATATCCCCCAAGACACGCGGCCGCTCTCGTAAGAACCTTCGCAAGTGGACAGAGGAGGAAACCACGGCTCTGCTACGGGGGGTGGTCAAGTGCGGCATTGGGAACTGGACGGCGATCCTGGCTCAGCCGGAGTTGAAGTTCAACAAGCGCAGCGCTTCCAACTTGAAAGATAGGTATGGTAAACAGCCATAGCTTCGAAGTGGATTGTACTATGGAAACGAGATTCAGGGTGCCGACTAAACACACATCTAGGTTCCGCGTGTGTTGTCCCTGGGCCTACCGGTAAGTCCTCGGTTCCGTGGGAAGTACATCAGCACCGACTACAAGCTGATTGTCTACAAGGGCCGCCGATCCGAACGAAGCCACGCGGCAATTGCACGACACTCTGGCCAACGCCCTCTCGCGGGCCGAGACGGAAGGATCTGATGGCACAGCCGGGAAGATTCACTTGCCGCATCCCCGACCAGCCAATGCGGAGTCCCTCTCGGTAGGGAACAGCGTGACGGTTGGCTTGAAGGAGCCATCCTCCGGCAGTAGCGGCAGCAGCTCTTCGAACACCAAGGAGCCCGCTCTGAAGACCACCAACCTGAAGCCGAACTCCACGGTGAAGGCAACTCCTACGCTAACAAGCAAATCCAAATCGACCTTGGCGTCCCTGGGTATCCCGGAACCACACTTTGCCATGAAATCCCGGCGGCGTTCCCGACGGCCATTCACCGTGGCCGAGGACGAAGCTCTACTCAAAGGGTACGCAGTGCATGGGTTCCAATGGACACTAATTCAGCAGGACACACGGCTGAGCCTCGGCCATCGCAGGGCCACGGACCTGCGCGATCGGTTCCGGACCAAATTCCCGCACGCGTACCGCGATGGAGGCTCTGTGAGCGGTCGAACCCTCCACGACCAAGGCAAGGAGGCTTCCGACGCGAGAGATGACCAGGACGGCACGAGCTCGGGCAGTAAGCAGGGAGCGCCACCTTCCAAACCCCAAGAAACACGATCCGATCTCCCAGGCCAGTCCGCCCTAGCACCCATCGACCCTGCTCTCTCCCCGCCTGCTCCGCCCCAGGGTCTACTAGAAAGCTCATCCACTGCAGCCGCAGCTCCAACCGCCCCGGCACCGGCCCCCGGCGTCGTATTCCCCTTCCCCCTGGACGAAAACACCGGGACTAGTGATAACACGTCATGGACGGACAATACATTGGCGCCGATGGTGTGGGATGAGATCGGATAGCGATCTGTGCATGACTCGCCCCTTTTCAACTGCTCTTGTAGATTCCGGGTGTTTTCCCGGCTTAATGACTCCCACGCATGTTGCAAATCTTACTCTATACCTTGCTCGGTGGATACCCACTGGTCTCGTCCTCTATCTATCAGAACCGTCATGTACGTTCAATGATTTTGGCTTGTCTCGAAGTCGGAAAAAATAGTCAGGTAGCACAGTACTACTTACCACCTATTCGGTTTCCTACGCTGGCGCTGGCAATAAACCCAGCCCTCCCTTCACGGAACAACCACCACTCAACTTACCTTTCATCAACCATGGCAACTTCATTCTAGACACACGATCATATCCAATACTATACAGTACAATGCAGCATTTCCATGCAATAAATATAGCGTCGCCAGCAAACAACACCCCATCTCATCAGCACTAGTCACCACCCAGTACTCACATGTAAGCACGTCAGCGATAGCGCACTGCGGCGTGATAAGCACTGTATCTTGATTTAAACGCACGGAAATATGCTTTCTGCTCCACGAATCTACGAGTATGAGGACAGGGTAGGGTTCTCACCCAACCGAATCCACATTCTTCTTTCTTCCCTTGTTGCGGATTCACCCGGGGGTGGATGCGAAGGAACCTCAGGAAAGGGGTAAACCTGCATACACTATACATACCGAACCTGCCTGGGCCGATACATTCCCTTTGGGGGTGGGGATTCCGGGATCTGGATTTTCGGTGCCGGGGGCGTTTCATCTTTCCGGGTTTGATCGGGGGATTATTCCTGATTCTGAAGATGGTGTATACTTCGTGGTGCATGGGCGAGAAGGGACTGATGGATCGGATCCGAGGGCGTGTTCCAAGGGGGTGTGTTTATGGGGGCCTGCTTGGTTGAAGATACTGGATCCTTGATACTATACCCACTAGATCTAAGATCTATCTACGGGTGGCAGGATTGGGGCAAATCGTCTGGTTGATACACTTTCTAAGAACAAAAACCTCCCGTTGCGCCTGGTCCGCGAAATCTCGAAATCGATATTCCCTTTTCATGAAATGATATCTCAGAAAAATCACAGGAATCAAGCGGGAAGCAATCATTGATCATCACTGCTCTGATCGTCCGTATCGCTCGTCATGACCGTATCCGCGGCATCCATCTTCTTCAGCACGGCGTCGCCCGTCCTCCCCTTCTTCTCGGCGGCGAACCACGCCTCCCGGCGCCGGGTCTCGCGCTCCTCCTTCCGGGCCTGGCGCAGGATCTTCTCGCGCTGGGCCTGCTCCTGCTTGCCGTGCAGCTCGTTGATGTAGTCGTGCAGGTTGGCGATGTCGGCGCGCAGCTGCGTCACCTCGTCGGTCGTGGACTGGCGCGCGGCCTCGTGGATCGAGGCCTTCTTTTTCAGAACGGCCAGGTCGCCTTCCAGCTGCGCGATCTGCGCGTCCTTGGCGAAGGCTTCTTCGTCGGTGATTCCGCTGTTGCTGCCGGTGGCGCCCTGGTCGAAAGCGGCCAGTTCCGCGAGACCTTCCTCTAGCATCGATTCTGGGAAGTAGGCGTGCGTGAAGGCTGAGGTGAATTGGTTGGGTCGGGAGGTGGAGGAGGCGGAGGAGATGGAGGGGAGGAGATGCGTGCTGAAGGTGTAGTCCGCCGGGACGGTGCCCGCGGGCTGGGAGGATTCGGACAATGTGTGGTCGTAGCGGGGTTTGACGATGGTGTGCGACATGCGGGTGAGGTCGAGAGACGGGTACGAGAGGCCGCTGGGGGGCAGCATGATGAGGTTCGTGATCGGGTGCGTGTAGTCGGCCACGGTCGAGGCGTACTTCTTCCGTCCGACGTTCCATGATAGGACCTTGCCATTCTGGTGGCCGGAGAGTAGTGTCATTCCGTCATAGGAGAGCGTGAGCGTGTGCGCGGCCCCGCTGTCGGCGGAGGGGGGCGCCCATCGGTCTTCGGCGGAGGGTTGCACGGGAGTGGAATGCAGAGAGGGGTCGTGAAGAGAGTGTTGGATGGATTGGTTCTTGTAGAAGTCGACCGACTGGATGCTGCCATCTGCGTAGCCGACGTAGAACGCTCGGTCAACGGGGTCGAGGGTCAGGCACGTTGCGTTGGCTGACAGGAGAAATGTGCGCAGAAGACGGCCGGTGCGGTAGTCCCATGCAATTGCAGTGCTGTCTTCCGCGATCGAAACGGCGATGTTGTGTCTGCCGGCGCTGTGGCCCACGGCGATAGAGGTGATGGCGGCGCGGTGGTTCGAGAAGGTCCGGATCGGGGAGTTCGGGGCTTGACGATCACGACCCGACGGGGGTTTTGTGAAAGAGAGGAGGTCGACAAGCGACCAGACGTGGATGCTCGCATCAGATGAGCCGGAGAGGATGAAGTTGGAGGTAGGGTCGACCACCAAGGAGGTTACTGGCCGCAGATGGGATGCTGTGGTTGCTATTTGTCGACCAGTGCAGGTCTGATTGACAAGGTACCCATTAGCAAACAAGCGAAGCAGGAAATCATGAAATGATGCTCAAGCACAACTCACCTCCCACAAAATAAGACGGCCACCTTCTGTGCCCAAAACAACAACGTCCCCATTCTTCCCCCCCGCGAGTGCGATACTACGTATGCGCTCCGGGAAGGGGACTGTGGCCTCCTGGTTGCCTTTCTCCCTGCTATATACGTGAACAATTGCCTTTTCCGACTGTGCAGCAAACACATGCGACGGGCTCACAGCCAGGCAATTGGCGGCCGTCGAGCTCTTCTTGAAGGTGGAGCGCAGATTAAGCGTGGGCTGAAACTCGTGCACGCAGATTCCGACATCTCTCAGACTAGCAGACGCCGGGGTCTTCCCCGACGCCACAGTCGACGCAATGAAACTCTCCGAGAGCATAACGTATTGATCCACGCAGGGGACTTGACGTACGAATGGAAGATCTCAAGTCAACATCTCTCTATCGCTTCTTCTCCGAACATTTTTTTTGCGATACGCCAATCGATAACCGGCTGGTTTGCACTGTTTGCTTGATTGACAAGATGCATCGGCATAGTGATTACATCAGCCAGCATAACGAGGGCTAATATCCCTGTGCTCCCCCGTACTGTACTTCGTACTGTACAAACAACATCCCATGATCTCATCTTCTCCCTCCTTGGATGATTCCTTGGTACTACAGTCCCTTCGTTGGTCTCCTAGTTCCCCTAGTATCCCTCGTTACTGACGAATCTGGAACAAGCACAGTGAGCTCCTTGGGATCTACGACTCCTGTATAACCACCGCCGAAGTAGCGTGTATAGCTACGCGCAGCTTCACCACCTCCAAGAACTTTCGATGGCACCCATGGAATTGCTGGCCTCCGAACGGTATCTCTGAGCTACCCGAACCAATCTAAGATCTCTGCCCGCCGCAGCCAAGCTGGAATTCTCCCACCTGCTACTTAAATTGCGCTCAGCGTTGAGGCAGCATGGGCCAATCTAAGGGCTGCGCCTACGACAACCGATGCAAGGGGCTTATTTCCAGGGGCCGGCCACCTGAGATTGCCCGGCGCAACTTCTATGTTGATTAGACAGACGCACCGAGGATCTTGTGACGTTCGCCAAAGGACTGGCACAGGCGCCCTCCATCTGCATGTCTCATTCCTTCCTAATAGATGATATGCAAACCCAGAGAAAGAGCGGACCACCCACGTTGCCCTGTGCCTGCAGGTGGCGCACGTCCGGACCTTGGCCCAATGACGGTGCCTATTTCTCGATCCTACCTCTCTCTGGTATGCAAGGAAATAGGCGTAATGGCCCTTCACTCTTCACTCATGTTCCAGAGTGTTAGACGACCCTCCCGAAGGGGGCGGACACGCATGCCTAATGTCTTTTTTCCTGTCACCGCAAGGCAGTCAAGGGATACTGGAACCGATGTAACGCCCTGGTATAAGGTCTGGTGGGCCGCTTCAGCGCTCATTCCGTGGTTTTCTTTCTGTTCTCCTTCTCTGGTTGCTGTTAAGGAGCGGCATTAGACCTGGTGGACCCTTCAGCTTTTCGTTGCTCACCCAGATTGACCTAGCAGCCATGTCTTCGACGGATGGCCATTCCGTCAAGATGCAGTTTCATCTGCAAGAACACAATTACCACCATACAATATCTGCAAATCTCCCAACATTTGTCAACCGGAGCGTACCAAGCTACAGTGTACCGAATCAAGTTTCCAATGTGAGAAGTAACAAATCGTCGTCCCCCCGGTACTCGCCCAATATTCAGCCTTGGAAGAGACAACAAGCCCCGAGCTCATTGTCATTTGTTCCTTCGCCAGCGCCCCGCATGGAACAACCAGAATATACCACGACACAACCACGGACCAGTTCGGAACGCCCTCCTGTGTACATGTCCCCTTTCCGCTCTGTGCGCAAGATGAAGCAGCCCTTTGAGCTGCGTCTCCCGTCCTCTCCTTCCACTGAGAGCCTTGCTGCAAGTGGCAAAGAGTCCCCATTGTCTCAAAAACCATCCAACAATAGGACGCTTCGCCCATGGCGTTCAGATCAGAATCTTCGAGTCACGAGCATCGACTCTTTTGGTCTTCTGCCCAGCCCGCCTCTGTCAGACACCAGGTCACCACACGATTCACCTTCGTTCTATTTTTCGCCAAAGCCGGAATCGGAATCGGACTACAGTCAAAAGAGTCCCAATGGCTGCGGCTGCGTTCCAGGCAGAGAATCGTGTCGCGATTGCTATACCTCCCCTCAAAGTGAACCACGACAAGCTCCTAAGGACGTCAAAGGAAGCCCACATGTACGCATGGCTCACTCGCATCTAGCCAGACAATGCGAAACTAGCGAGGGGCAATTAACGCCGGCTTCAACCTACTCAGAGCGCATGTCATCGCCAGCTCCTTATTCCGACTATGAACCGGTTGGGAAGAGAAACTTCTCCAACTCATCCATTGGTGCAGGAAGAAGCAGATCAGGGACGGTGTCTAGCGATGGGAGTTGGGCTCCCAGCAGCTTATCATACTGGGAGCCTTGGCTCCAGCGTGCGCCAGTGGAAGGTGCAGAAGGCCAGGGCGAAAGGCTCAAGGAGCTGAACCGACGAAGAATACAGATTGTGCAGAAAAGCCCTCCACCTCCTCCACGGAAAGTTGAGTTGAAAGCAGCTAGACCGGCAGTGAGTCTTTTCCCAGATTACGAGTAGCATGAAGCTGACCCTGAAACAGATGTACGCGGTAGCAACCAAGACGAAACCCAAGTTGGTTGATATATCACGCCAGTCGTCCCCAGCAATGAGCTACTCGCTCCCAACGCCACAGCATCCTGTTCCATCGACTCCTGATCAAGGTCAGCAGGAGATATCAGCCTTTAGTCCCGACACGCCTCTGGAGATGTCCGACAGCGGCTATATCACACATCATTCATGCTATTCACCTAACGACTATGCCCACGCCAAGGCTCCAGCTGAGGAGGACGAGGACGACGATGAAGACGAAGACGATGATGATGTGTACACTGACATCAGCTCTGTCGCATCTGAGACTGTTGGCGAAACCACGATCGAGACCAAGTCGGCTCCTAGCCCGGAACTACCCAAATCACCACCCAAGCCAGAGGTACCACCAAAGTTTGCTGCGTCCGTCCAGGTATCCCCTGGTCGTTCTTCAATCTCAACCAAGTCGGAGAAGGAAGAGTTGGAGAAGTGGTGGGATCACGAATGGACTATCGACCAGCTGGAACTGTCTGTCAAAGACTTCCCACGGAACATGCTCCGCCTTACATCACCCGTCATTATGTTTCTTCGCCATAATAATGAGAGGGCACTTTTGCGGCCTTTCCGCACCATCTTCCCTAGCGTTGCTGAAAACCTACTGGATGGCTTATGCGCCGCTCTGATTGCACGGAACTATGTTGTCTCTTTGGCAACTGCTCACCAGAGGAAGAGTCAGCTCAACCAACGATCGCGGCTGGACACAGTCCCGGAAAAAGCCACCGCGGCGTCAGGGACCTCCAGTCACACCACCCCATCACGCCAGGTTCTTGAAACGCGCAGCATGCAGCTTCGCAGAGACCTGGATAGAATTGTCGAGAAAATGCTCTTCGCCATATGCGGGCAGGCGGAGGAGCATCTGAAAAGCGCCGTCCTTGTTCTCGCCCAAGTGCTCGAAACGAAAAACTAGGCGATCACTCATTCAACCTTTCCTTTATTGTCTTCTTTCCCTCTCAACGCACAGGTCTATTCCCACGCCCCATTTGAGTTCTTTTCTTGCCTCCCCGTTTCCTTGATGAGCCAGTTTTCCTGACTATACCACTCGTTCTGTCATTTTCATGTTGGTGAGATCAATTTGCTTTGCCATTCGTTTGTTCCACCTCACTCACTTCGGATTCTTCTAGTGAGCTGCACCGTCTGCTCTGTTCACGTCTGCTACTCTTTTTTTACCTGTGATTTCACTCCAATAGCCACTACGGTCGATGTATAATCTCTAGTTGTCCCCAGTACCCAGATTCTAATGATACCCTTCCAACCTGAAACTAGTCGCAAACATCAACTACCGTGCTGTAAGCCTACCACAGTCCTCTATAGAATATAGGCACCCTGAATACTGCCAGGAAGCCCACCCAGGAGTGGTTAATTAATCAGCAGGAACGCCACCAAACTAGGGCAATGCACCTTGCGTCCTGAAGGGGCTTAGTGGGCATGCAGCCGCCATGCTGAGTCAGCCGCCGGCGGAACCGCAGCCGAACTCCGATATCAGCTTGAATGTTTCCCGCGGAATCGAAACTACCTCCAAGAGCATTAATGATCTCTTGCCTTCCCCACTCTCCCCTCTCATCTTTGCTTGAGAAACAAAGATTCGACATATACAAGCCTCGACCATGGCAGCTCCCTCCACGAACCGCCTACGGCTCCTCTGCTCGTCCCGCCGCCTGACCGCCGCCACCATCTCTCCCAGCAGCACATTCCTCATCCGCAGCTACGCCACGACCGAGCCATCCTCCGCCACGGACAGCACGACCACGACCGCGACTACCACGACCCCCCGCCGGCGCACCACCTTCACGGACCGGCTGAACTCAGGCCCCTCGTTCTCCGACTTCGTCTCTGGCGACGCCGACCCGATCGCGGACCCGAATGAAGCCTACGCGCTGAAGACAGCGCTGGTCGGGCCCGCAGGCCGCAAGAAGGAGATGACGCGGCTGCCGTCGTGGCTCAAGACGCCGATCCCGGACTCGAAGAACTACCAGCGCCTGAAGAAGGACCTGCGGGGGCTGAACCTGCACACGGTGTGCGAGGAGGCGCGGTGCCCGAACATTTCGGACTGCTGGGGGGGCGGCGACAAGGCGGCGGCGACGGCGACGATCATGCTGATGGGCGACACGTGCACGCGGGGGTGCCGGTTCTGCAGCGTCAAGACGCTGCGGCGGCCGCCGCCGCTGGACCCGCACGAGCCCGAGAACACGGCCGAGGCGATCAGCCGCTGGGGGCTGGGGTACGTCGTGCTCACGAGCGTCGACCGCGACGACCTGGCCGACGGCGGCGCCCGCCACTTCGCCGAGACCGTCATCAAGATCAAGGCCAAGGCCCCCAGTATCTTGGTGGAGTGTCTGACCGGCGACTACATGGGCGACCTCGAGATGGTCAAGCTCGTCGCCCGCTCCGGCCTCGACGTCTACGCCCACAACGTCGAGACCGTCGAGGCCCTCACCCCCTTCGTCCGCGACCGCCGCGCCACCTTCCAGCAGAGTCTGCGCGTCCTCGACGCCGCTAAGCAGGCCCGTCCTGATCTGATTACCAAGACCTCGCTGATGCTTGGCTTCGGCGAGACGGACGAGCAGATCGCTGATGCGCTGCGGCAGCTGCGCGGGGTGAATGTGGATGTTGTCACGTTTGGGCAGTATATGCGCCCCACTAAGAGGCATATGGCCGTCCATGAGTATGTCACGCCCGATCGGTTTGAGATGTGGCGCCAGAAGGCCCTGGAGATGGGCTTCTTGTACTGTGCCTCGGGCCCGTTGGTCCGCAGCAGTTATAAGGCCGGTGAGGCGTTCATCGAGAATGTCCTGAAGAAGAGGCGCGCCGGCGGTACGGTGGGCGCCGAGTCCGTCGAGAAGAAGATCCCCGTTGACGAGATCGCGCGGTAAAATCATCAGCCCGCTTCCTCTCTCTTCTGTGTCTCGTTTTTCCTTCGTGTGCGTTGGTATATCGGTTTCACCTTTGGCGTAGGGTTAGCATGATTCGTTTCGGGTTCGGTTTTATATTCTACTTGGTTTTCACGGGTTGTGCTGTGCTATTACTACTACTACTACTTTCTACATAGACCCTAAAACTTCAATTTCAATCCCAGCTGATTGGCTGATGGGGTTGGCTACTGGCAATTCAAACATCATTTCTAAACATGTACGTATGTTCATTTCAATGAGATATTGTCAGCGTATCAACAAGCTATCAAATCAACGCATTATGACTCGCATAATGATCCTAAATCGGCCGTTCGATTAACCCAACTCGTTGGGCTGCAGCCATCTGCTGCAAACTTTGCAGGTGGTATGTATCCACGTCCTTCCGGCTTCACTCCGACAACCCTAAATGTAATCAATCTTACTCGTTCGTTCTAACTCATGACTGTTCAAAGGCGTGGTTTGATGATGGTATGACAGAGACCCGGTTGGGTGGGTATTCTCAAGCCGAGCCCCGGGCTAAAAGCAGAGGGGAAAAAAGTTATTGGAAGAAGATAATCAAGAAGAAAAATCAACCGAGATTGTTGCGTGGAGAAATCTGGGTGAGAAAGTCTGAGGATGTGGAAATTTGTTCTTCGATGTGTTGCCATGTGTTCCTTGCCAAGCAGTTGGTGGGACAATGATGGACCATTCGATCGTTCGGTCATGGACAGTACTTACAGACTCCAGGCCTTGGGTCGTGACCGAACTATACGAGCAGTTCTTTGACATCATCCCGGTTGAGTCCAAGCAGGTAAAGGATGTCTACGAGGCTCTCTCCGTTGAGACGCGTAGGGGCCTCGAGCTGGACTTTGCTCTTGGCCCGCCAGGCGACTCCAAGCCCAGCCGCGTGGAGCATGAGCAGGTCATTGGCACCGTCGCCCACAGAAACGACCTGAGAAATCGAGATTCCGTTCTGCTCCGCGATCGAGTGCAACAGCGTGCGTTTCTGGGCCGCATCGATGATCGGGTATGATGGCACCAGCTTGCCTGTCAAGGTTTGTGTGGTGGGGTCGATTTCAAGCTAGCAAGGTCAGTACGGTGCCACCTGGGGCGAACACATGAAGATCAGGGTCACGCACATGGTTAGCAAAAGCATAGTCGAGACCAAGCTCGCCAGCAAGCCACTCCGCCAAAGGCTGGAAACCTCCGCTCAAAACCGCCATCTTGCAGCCAAGAGTCTTCAAGGCCTTGCACAGCTCACGTGCACCCGGGGCGATGGTGATGATCGACTTCAGCTTCTCGAAGACGTCTGCGGGAACACCCTTCAGCAGGGAGACCCGCTCCTTCAAGGATGCAGAGAAGTCGAGTTCACCGTTCATAGCACGGGCCGTAATTTCCTGTCGGCTCGGTCAGTACAGTTTTTTTTAAAACCACGGCATTCGACCAAGACTGACCGAAACTTCCTTCTCGACACCGATGAACTTGGCGATCTCATCGATGACTTCGTTCTGGATCAGTGTGCTGTCCATATCGAAGACGAAGAGGCGCTTGTGACGACGGAAAACACTCTCCCGCTGAAGCACGACCTCGACATTCCATTCCCGCTCGAAACGCCAGATGCTTTCATGTTTGCGAAGGTCTGCGAAGGTCAGGTATTCCGGGTTGGGGGGCGGGGAGAAAGTGACCTCCATCACCCGAGGGTGCTCGTTAGCCTCCAGGCAACGGTGTGAGGTGTTCGTGCGCTGGTAGGGGGTCGGAAGAGACTCGATGATCTGAAGGAAGTTGGTCAGGCATAGTTGCGACACAAATGGGCCGTACAAGTGGTCGAGAGGCTCGGGCTCCGGCGCAGGAGGCTCCCGAGGGAGTTTCTCAATGTCGATGGTCGGGGCAGAACCAACGGGGACGGTGGGCGAGGGCAGCGTATCTCCCGGCTTAGCATGCGGGGAGGAGTCGGGATGCAGGTGCGGGTGAATGGGATCCGCGGATTTGTAGAAGATGGTCGCGACCAGTTGCTGGGTGCCGGTCTGCAGCGGGTTGGCGTGGGAATGAAACATGCTGTGGATGATGCCGCTCTCAGTCACCTTCTCGGGATCGGGACTGATGGGATTCGCCTTGAGGGACAAGGACGCGAAGGAGGACTCGGGCACAATCCCAGCATTTCCAGCATTGCCAGCACTTCCAATCACATTCCCGATGGTCTGAATGGGAACCGACGGCTTGTATTGCTGGTGATCCTGGATGAAGGAGCTACTGGAGAGTGTCTGTCGCAACACGGGTCGGGTTGGACGGGAGTTGGCGGGGTTGGGCGAGGCCATTGTTGAGGAGGGAGGAGATTAGATGCGCTGCGCGGAGAAGGTAGGCGGGCTCAAGAGGGGGTGGAACAGAGTGGAGTGGAGAGGTGATGGAAGACCCTGGACGATTAAAACAGCCCACCAGCCGGGAATACACCCTGGAGAAGCAGAGATAGCAGCAAAGCGGACAAGTCAAGAAAAAAGCTGGCAAGCCGTTGTCGAGGTTCGTCGGTCGCTTTTCCCTTGCAGCTTCCATTGTGAGATCGGCCGGCACGTGGGGAGAAAAGTCACATGACGAACCGAGGGGGAAAAAGATGCCAGTTGGTGGACGTGACCGCCTGGCAGAAATTATGATGGGTCGGTCCTCCGTTCATTCACAGTCCGACATCGACATCATCATCATCATGATTATCATCTTTGCCTCATGATGTGGGGTAGTTAGGTACTTGCTATGCTTGCTCTGCAGAACAACACATCACAAGCTACTCCCACCAGGACTAACTTCGCACAGTAGACTACGAGTCCATGTAGTCAATCGGTGGATAATCATGGAAGACCAGGGTTTGTCTGTTGCATTTATCATCATTCTTCTTCATTCGACGCTAATTCCTTTTCACAGCTTACGGGGAGCAAGGTGTCCTTAGGGGTCCTTGATCCTGCACCTACAGCGGGAATTGATTGATTTAATTATGATTAATCATGAGTCTAATCCGCATGTCTTCGTCTCTCTGCCGAAAGTTCCATCCGCCAAGTGAGACAACCGGGGATTCCTCCTCGGAGTTCAACGATTTATCAGCAGGAAGTTGACCACAACCGGCTGAGATAAGCCGGTCCGGGGAAGCGCAGACACCGGGAGTGCAAGTATTGCGTGATTTCCCCGGAAGCTGAGAGAAGGATTTTTTTCTGCCCTTCGCCCCATCTGGCAAGCGGTCACGGGCGATGTCGTGATTGCGAGCCCTGCAGAATGGCCCAGCAAGTATGAAGGGAAGAGGGTGAAGGGAGAACGGACTCC